TAGTATTTATTATTCTAAAGGAAGGAAGGAAGGAAGGAAGGAAGGAAGGAAGGAAGGAAGGAAGGAAGGAAGGAAGGAAGGAAGATACCTTTCTTTGGTAAAGGTTTAGGATTTGATTGTAGAAAGAGAATGAAGAAAGTGTTTGTGAGTAAAGATTGATACATCTGTCCATTTCAGTTTCCTCTCAGATTCTCATTGTCCCAGTCTTAGGTTCAAGTTTGCCACATTTCTATGTTAGTTTGTGATTTTTAATAATAATAATAATAATAATAATAATAATAATAATAATAATAATAATACACACAGAAATTCACCATTTTAGTAAGCATTATCCCAACACTCACATTTTATGCAGTCTTGCCCAGTATACACATTCCCCAATATAATGCATTTTTATATGTTATTTTCACTAATAACAGTATTTCTAAGCACACTTTCTCCTAATATACACATTATTGTGTCAATTTTTTGGTTGGATAACTGCATCTCATAAGAACATAAGAAGAGCCTCTGCTGGATCAGACCAAAGACCCATCTAGTCCAGCATCCTGTTCTCACATTGGCCAACCAAATGCCTGTGGGAAGCTCAAAAGCGGGACCTGTGTGCAAATTACACTCTGCTCAGCTCCAGTTCTTAGCAACTAGTAGTCAGAGAAGTGCAAATTTCAAAGAGCGCCTGCGTTTTTATTCCTATTTTGTTTCATGAAATGAAAATTCAGTAAATGTGAACTGAACTGAATTACTTCACCTTCTCTACTTGCGATGGCAAATGAAAAGTTTGGGTATCTGGTCTTAGTTATCCCCTTTGTTACCAATTTTCATCAATACCAACTCACATGATACATGTGCACAAGAAGTATTTATCTTCTGGAAAAGTCAAGCATTCTGTTTTTACGCAAGACTTCAATTTCTTATCTTCTGCAATATACAAAAGGTTCTGTCTTGGGGGGGCAGTTAGTCTAGATCTCTCCAGGAAAATAAAAGGTTAGCTTATAAATAACCTATATTAGTTTGCTGCTATGTAATTCAAATATCATAATGTAACCTAAGTGCTTTGCACCCAAAATGGGCACAGGGGAATGTTCCATAATAACTGGTCTGTGCCAACTAAGACCTTCAGAAACACTCAGCATTCAAAAGTGTCTTTTCCATAACTAAACAAATTTAGAATTATCTCCAAGTGTAATCAAAATAGATGTGAGGCTATATGAAAATTTCAAACTAGATCCAGCCTTTAAAGAATGAAGCCAGTTCACAAACAGATTAAGTGAAAAGTATGCCACAGTCTACGACTTGATCAGTAAACGCTGTCAGTAATGATTTCAGGGTGAAAGCATTGCTGGGATTGACAGCAGACATCAGGATTGAGGATGGGGGGAGAGGGGAGAGAGACATTACACTTCTTGAATGACAACACTGAAGTACAGTACAGAAATCCACTGCAAAAGACAAAGCGGGCAAAGTGACAAAGCGCTATGGGTGGAAACCAATTCCTAAGTGCTTTTTCACCTCAGAGCTGCACAGTGCCCAACCAACCATGGCAGACTCTGTGTAGATTCATCACCTGCTGCCAGAGCATGGGGTTCACACATTCTGCAGCGCATACGTAGAAAGGCCACAGAATTGTCATGGTGGGGATGCATGCAGACTATGCAACAACACAAAAATGCAATCAGACAAAAGAGCCAGCTGCATCTGAGTTAGGCCTCCACACAGATGACCTCAGCTATATGTTTAAAAGCTATGCCCTAATTTTGTGCATAACAAGGCAGCACAGGAATGCACTGTTACACTCACATCCACATCTGTACATACGAGAAAAGTACTTTACAAACTCCAGATGTTTCATGACATTCCACCAGTTGAAAAGCACTGCTCTACAGTGTCGGCTTGAATTTCTGCCCATGATCATTCCTAAGATTTCAATATGTGCCCTTGGGCCTTCAAAACATATATATGCAGCAATGTTCATCTGAATATGGCATACTTGAAGTTTTAGGGCACTATCAAACTAAGTTGCTCCATCAACACAAGAGTTTCCATTTGTGCAAAGAAACTCCCACCCCCTTCTCATCCCATGTGTACCCTGTTCCCTCTCCAAATCTGCTCTGGTGTGTTGCATGGAAACCCTGGTGTGTTGCATGGATTTAGGAGGCACACATGGGGAAAGTCCATAGCAGCAGTGTAAATCCTTGCATTAGCTGGATACTGCCCTTAATATGCAGTTTTTCCAACTTTTAATTATGGTATATATTCTATGTTGAGACTTTAGACCACTGGTCTTAGGAAAAAGCAGCTTGCTCACTGTTTCCTGTCATTAGGTCAGATGACCCTGTGATTGACATGGAATAGCAGTGACCCAGCAGAGAGATTCTGTCTGCTTTCCACTCTGCTGAGCTGTTATGAGACCCAGTAGGTAGTTGATTAAAACTGTACCCTGGGAGTAGGGAAAAATAGAATTCATTTTACTCACAACGTATTGAGAAAATGTGAAGCCCTAGGGTATCTTGGCCACACGATGAAATGTAAACAAGGAGTTTAGATTCTCTCTCTCTCTCTCTCTCTGTGTGTGTGTGTGTGTGTGTGTCTGTTTAAAATATGCTCAACTTGCAAACATTTTTCTTATGTATTGTAAACCTGAGCGTTGTAGAATGTGAAATGTTCAGCTAGCAGCTGAGATAAGGTTTTGGGGTGAATTTTTATCTGAATTCATGTGTAGGGAAAGGGAAGACAGCAGACTCTAGAAAGAACCAATGCACAGTGCATATCTTGTATTTGCTAACTGAGGTTGAACCTATACTCTGCCCTCCAAATTTCTGAGCCTAAAAAAGCTCTGCATTGATGCTTTTTCTTCATAACCATGAGGACTAGAATCATGTCTTTTAAAACTGACATTAACATTCTCAGAATCCTGCAACAGGCTATTCCAGGACTACCCTATCTGAAGAATCCCCAAGAATCCTCAAACCAGAAGAGGACAGGCTTCAGGTAAGCATCACAGTCATTTGGAGGGGGGAAATCTCAGTTGCAGTAGGCACACTTACTAGGCAATCTAATTAATAGGCAATGCTTGATTTTGTGAGAAACCTTTGATTGCTCAGATCTTTTTTCTTTTTTTGGACAAGGGCAACCACCCTGTGATGATATAGCAGGTTCACCGTAGCATAGCCAACCTTATCATTCTGCACAGAACTCTGCTTGGAATACAAACACGTTTCATCCATCTTTAGGACTACAATGGCTGCCATTAAGAGCAGGAATGGGAAGCCGTATTAAAAAAAAGGAGAGAATCATGCTGATTTGCCCATAAAATGCTCAGCAGGTTCACCAGTACAGACTGATGTAGCAGGAACCATGAAGTCCCAGTGGAACTGATTAAATTGGATGTTTGCAGTGTGCCTCGGTGCTCAATAGCTTGCCATGGCAGTTTTATTTCACCTCTCCAGGATGTTGTACAAATATAGGAAGCCATTTTCAGACTCCTGCATGACCAAAGAATATATATATTATTCTCATAACAGACTCCCCACCACCTGGTAGCAGGTGCGTTAAAGCATAGTTTATCAGGTATATCAGCTGCCTGACAGATTAATAGGCTTTTAGCATCGGAGGAGGCAGGTCCCGCCAGTGTCAATGAACTCAGGTTTCCATTAGCAACTATAGTAGTGAGTGCTGCGTCAAATGATAGCTCTGAGGCTGCCAAATGCTTTGCGTTCCTCTCCACCACCATCACCCCGATCCAGTGCTTCAGCAATGAGAAGGACAGATGGTCTCTAGATCCTTTTATACAAAATGATGGAAAAAACAACAACAACAAAACCCAGCCCCCAAACAAAACCTAGGAAACTGCTGGATGCTAATATGAACACAGTTTAGATGCCCAGACTGCGACAGCATTAATAGGGAGACAGAAGATTCCTCCAGAGGTTTCATTGCAGCTGCCTTTATGGTTGTGGAAACACCCTCCTGAGAGACCCTGAGGTTAGGGAAATGACAAAAGTAAAGATAAGGATAAGGTACTATTTACCTGTCCCAAGGAAGGGTGAACAAAGAGAAAAAGTCCCTCGAGTATCGAGTATCGTCATGAACTGCTGAATCCAGGATTTCTCTCACAGCAAATGAGAAGCAGGTGGCTGGTCCACTCAAATGCATGGACACTGATAAGAGGGTACTCTCTCATCAAGAGATCATTAGGCTCAGGTGCAGATGGGGTGGCTGTGAAGCCAAGCCTGCTCACCACCCTGGGTTTTAAAAACCTTCACAATCAAGTTTCAAAAATAGAATATGCTTAATTTGGGTTAACATTAGCTGGTGCTTCTCACGAGGGTCCTGATTGATCTGGGAGAAAAACCGCAAGCTATCTTCACTTTCTGGAAACAGTTGAAGAGATTTTTATTCTGACAAGCTTTTCCAGCTGGATAATTTGGTCTTTACCATGAGTATCTGCTTGCATTAGACAATGGTAGAGGTTTGGGGGACTTATTAGGCTTGCACTTACATGGCCAATTATGCAAATAGATCGTTTCAGGGAAATTTGCCAATGCAGCAGCTACTGCCTGTGGAAAGGTTATTTGGCAGGAGCCACCAGGGTTTCTCCTGATGGGAGCATACTTAGTTTGAACTACCAAAGTTTCCTCTGGTTCCCTACAATAGTACTACAGCCATTGCTCAGAGCAAAGCCAAAATAAGCACACTCCCAAAAGAGATACAAGAACCTTCTTAATCATGCAGAAGCTGCACCATTAGTGTTGGTAGACACATCTGGGGAAGTTCATAGCAGCACCCCCTATATCCACCCTGGTCTCAGTGATACAGTGTAAACTGAAATATGTGGGGGGGTGACCTTCAGTGGCTCTGATGAGGGCCAGTGGATGTGCTGCTTGAAGAAGTGCTTAAGCTGTCCCCACCAACCTATCCATATATAAACCCAAATGTCACAAAAACTAAGTCTCCAACAATCTCTTCTTCAACAGAAAGCTACCCTTGGCAATACTCCTTACCTTAATCAGTAGTGTGGCGCTGTAGAATGGTCTGCCATGGCAGCTGCAACTTCAGATCATTCAGCTTTTAGGAGATATATTACCCCTCTCCTCCGGCTGGAAAGTTGAATCTGGCTCACCTGCTGGATTGATCAATGGTAGGCAGGCTCAAGGGTGGGCTCATTCCAGGGAGAAGAGCTGGTCCACTTCCCAGGGATACCCCTTTTTCAGCTCTCCCACCCTCCCTCCCTATAGTTTTCCCACCAGGTCTATTGGCGGACCTTGGGGGTTTTGCCTAACTCATAGCAATCGCCACAACTTTGGTAGGTAAGGCATTGGGTGAAACTTTATTCATGGCTGGAAGGAAGGATGTAAGGCTCTGCCTCCACCTCCAAGGGAATAGGGGATCCTAGAGGAGGTGCTTCTGTCCAGACACCCAGGCAGTGGACTAGGGCCATAGTACTCCTCATGACAGTGATCCTGGAGAGTCACACCTATTTGATGTATATCACAGGATCTTCTTGACACTGGCTTGACCCCTTGGTGGATCATCCAGCAGAGAAGTTGGTTGATATTGATTATAACCCAATGCCCATGCAAAACTCCTTACATCTGTAACCAATAAAGCTGTGGCCTAATCTGAACCATACAATGTTGTCACAAGCAGTCTTTTGGGAAGCGGTGCCTTGAGAGGTGATGGGCTCATGGCACCTGGGCACACAAATGCTGCTCTTGCTCACCATGCAATTGGGGAATATGAAACAATACCTCTACAACTACTAATTTGGGTACTCCCCACCCCCCCGCTTCCCCAAAAGGACTAATAGCAGCTTCAACAACCAATTTTCATTGGGGAAGCAATGTGAGATAAGACTAAGCACCCCTTACTGTAGACCCACTCCAACATGGTTGCCTTTAATCTTAGAAAGACAGAAATTATGAAATCTGATCATGGACCTCCTGTGTGACATACAGTATGGTGCTAGCAAATGCACTGTGGCACAAGCTGTCATCATGGGCAGGAGATTGTTTCTTCTGATGTGTACTTGATGACACATCCATGTGATGAAGGAAGATCTTACCTATGAACGCTCATGCCACAATAAATGTGTTAGCCTTAATAATAATTTATTATTTATACCCCACCCATCTTGCGGCACTTTTGTTTGTTGCTTTTAGCCATAGCATAGAAGATGTTCAGTTAACCCAAGCAGAGAGACAAAAGGGCTGCCTTTAAAAGCTGGGCTAACTAAGCCAGAGAAAACAGCTGCTCCCTCTAATCAGTGCAAACAGCTATCAAGACTTGCTGCTTTCTGAAGAGCGGCCAATAATTGGTCATTTTAGCAAAAGCCAGGACACAAGTCCAATCACGCATCACCTTCTATCACTGGCATGCTAACTCAGCCTCAGTGCCAGAGAAGGAGGTAGAAGGGTCTCCTTCAAGGGATATTAACATTAACTGTACACACAACAAGCTCATGTGTATGAGTGAAAAGGCCATTGAGCAAAGGCGTTGCGTTGTAAGAAAATATCATGCTCAAAGTGTAAGGTCTAAAAACAGAAAATGACTTAGAGGACTCGAGTTCTAGTGTATCTCACATAGCAAAGCAGATCTCTCATTTGTAAATGTATTAAAATAAAGTAAAAAGAATTATTTCCTTCTAATAGGCCTCTGTATACGATAGAGACTTAATCTACAGTTAAGGAGGGGAGAGAAGGACCCATGCTCAATAGTACAAATGTGCTTCACTTTGACTGGATACTGCCCTTAAATGTCAACAGCATAATGTATATAATAAAGCTACCCATTCTTTCTGTTCTGCTCTTTGCTAACATCAATTTGAAAAGGAGGAGAAATATTTACAGTAAACAGTCCTAAAAGTATAACAATTTGTGGTGCCTTAAAGGCTAATTGTTCATTGTGGCATAAGCTTATAAAGACCAGAGCCAACTCTGTCAGATACATGAGTTGTTATCTTGAGTTTGTATATCTATACATCCATGTGTGTAGAGAAAGAAAAAAGCTGGACCCATTAGCCACACACAATATCCAAGTGGAACAGTCAATGATAATCCCATGTGAATTCTAAAAGACCAATGGCCTGTACAGCTTCTTCTGATGTCACCTTTAACAGTGTGGAAGATGCTGCAGCATGACTCCACCCAGTGCTACCTGAGAAGATGGGAAGTCTGAAGCCACATGATAAGGCAGGAGACCACACTATTGTACCCTTTTGCACTAGCTCTGCCCTTGGTGTGGGAAGAAACCAGAGATGTGGCTTAGACAAGGGTCAGCAAACTTTTTCAGCAGGGGGCCGGTCCATTGTCCCTCAGACCTTGTGGGGGGCCGGACTATTTTGGGGGGGGGGGTGAACGAATTCCTATGCCCCACAAATAACCCAGAGATGCATTTTAAATAAAAGGACACGTTCTACTCATGTAAAAACACACTGATTCCCGGACCGTCCGTGGGATGGATTTAGAAGGCAATTGGGCCAGATCCAGCCCCTGGGCCTTAGTTTGCCTACCCATGGCTTAGATCAGGGGCGCCCAAACTTTTTTCAAAGAGGGCCAGATTTGATGAAGTAAACATGAGTTTTTTTAGGAATTTACCCCAGGACATAAACTGCTACGGGGGCCAGATTAAATCGACCGGATTAGGCTGGATTAGGCCCCCGAAATGGACTTTGGACATGCCTGGCTTAGATCATCTGATGTTGCTGAACAAGCTCAGGAAGAGACTGAGATGCCTCTAAAGGTATTGTTAAGAGGTGACTGAGATCAGATCAGGGCATTTCTTTTAATCATTTCACAATCACTACTTCCAACAGGGTGTGTCCCCAATGTTTCAGTTAGCATATTTGGAAGATCTTTGAATCTGAAATTAAAGCTATGCTTTCATTTTCAGGTTGATTAAATAGGAATTGTCTTACGAGTATGAAAATGCATTAGAATATTGCTCTTCCATCTAGAAATACTCTTTGTAGAAGAGTAGAAAAAGTAAACACTCATTATGCAGGGATGTGCGAAAAGAACAGGGAGGAGGATTGGCTTCTCCTAAGGGTTAATTAGTACACATCAATTAATATTATGAATCTGCCTTTAGAACTGTTATGCTACCTGAAAATCTAATTATCTTGGAGGTAATACTACACTTTATTTGAATATGTAACAGATGGTATAAGCATATAAATATGCAAAGTACTTTTATGGCCTTTTAATGTTTGTCCAGCCATGAATGCTGTTAGCTAATGTGGAACTGCAGAGGACTGTATGTTCTGATGCCTGTCAATCTTCTTTTCTCATTTTACTGTACTATAATGAAAGTGAATCATGCGCTTATATTCTTAGCAGCATGCCATATTGCTCCTCCAATCCTAAAACAACCCTAAAGTAACATACACACACGTTACCAAATTGTTTAGCGGATTTAGTATTTCAATGCTTCACTAAAGGCTAAAAACGTTGAGAGCTGAAATGGCAAGACACAGGCGTCACCATTTTTTGTACTGTAGACACATATTTCTTTCATGTCCATTCTAGACAAACGAGTCTGCAGGTTTTAGAATCACTATACCAGGGGTAGTCAACCTTTTTATACCTACCGCCCACTAATGCATCTTTCTTGATGGTAAAATTTCCTTGCCGCTCACCAGTGCTCAATGGAAAGAGGATTCAGCTTGTGCCATAGAACCCCCTACCGCCCACCTAGAATCCTGAAACACCCACTAGTGGGAAGTAAGGACCAGGTTGACAATCCTGCACTATACAAACCTTGAAACAAAATAAAACAAAATTAAAAAATTAAAACAAAAAAAATTCCTTCCAGTAGCACCTTAAAGACCAACTAAGTTAGTTCTTGGTATGAGCTTTCGTGTGCATGCACACTTCTTCAGATTGAGATTCCTCATAGGGTTTGTGCTTCTTGGCCTCGGGTGTTGGTTGTTCCAATAGTCCCCTTTGTGCTTATTCTTTTGTAACTATTGCCCCTAATCAAGTACTTTGCGCCCGCTTGCTACTTGTGAATCTACAGTTTCACAGGTCTATGAGCCAAAAATGAATAGGCTTTTACTATGCAACTTGAAGTTTGAGACACCTGTTAGAACTTGTGGTTGCTACAATGAGATATTCATACAGGCATCAGCATCCTCCAGCTTGCCTGTTTGGGTTCCTCTGCAAGGGTGACACTGGCCATAGTAGTATGTTTGGAGACATCATATTTTAGTGTTCCACAGTGTACAAGCGCAAGGGCCAATCACTAATTCTAGGATGGCAGATAGGATACTGAACAGAGATTCAATCCTAACCCCCCTTACCTGGGAGCAAGCCCCACTGGATTCAACAGGACTTGCTTCTGAGTAGACATGGTTAGGATTGCACTGTAAGCTGGCCACTCCTCTGTCACATGGTCAGTCCCCCCCCATGCTTTTGTCTTTGCCCAAGCATAGTACAGCTTTTGGTTCAGTGTGGGAGCACAAGGGTAAAATTCAGTGTGATTCTGCTCACACAGTGCTTATCAAAGACTGCATTATTTGAAAAACAACAGCCCTAATATTGAGATGAGAGAAATACTTCAGAAACGATTTCTAAAAGCTTCATGACAAATTCCCTGTTAGAAAGAAATGCTTTAATAACTATCCAGCTATTCTATTTCTAATTTCCATATTTTTACGTGTAAAGGAAGCATTCCCCGCTTATATCGGCCTAGAAGACATTTCAGAAAAACTCATTTCCTCCCTGCAAATGCATAATTTGTCCTTCTTTCCTAGAAAGCAGGCCATTCTGTATAGCGCACACACCTCCTTCTTTTGACAAATTACTACCGTTATTTAGAAAGATCAAATATTGTTTTCCCAAGGAAGAAACTTTTAAGACCTGCCAAAAAATTTGTTCTGTGGAATATGTCATTTCCTACTCAGGCTCCTGTCACTGAAAGAACTAACTTTCTGATATCTCATATACCCAACCGTTTTTATGATAGCAGTTGCAACTAATGGTATGCCTGCAGTTTTGTTCTCTTGACAGAAGTGTTGATAGCATCAAGCATCTCAGCAGTTATTAGCAATATTTGTAACTACTGTGATACATGGGTAATGGGCAGGGCGGCAAAATCGTAAGAGGCTGTAATAAGTATTCCATATTTTTTTACTTAGGTGTGTTGTAAGCAGCAAACTAGCCAGTGAGTTCCAAAACGAGCACTAAAAAGATTAGTGCTCCTTTTGGATCTAAAGTAAGACAGGGAAATTGAAAAAAAACTAATGTTTCATGTCTTGTTGTTTTTTGCATCCTTGTTCACGGCAGAAGGTGTTGGGGAAATTATTTTAATAATACAGTGGTACCTCAGGTTACGTACTTAATTCGTTCCGGAGGTCCGTACTTAACCTGAAACTGTTCTTAACCTGAAGCACCACTTTAGCTAATGGGGCCTCCCGCTGCCGCTGCGCTGCTGCTGCGCGATTTCTGTTCTCATCCTGAAGCAAAGTTCTTAACCTGAGGTAATATTTCTGGGTTAGCGGAGTCTGTAACCTGAAGCGTATGTAACCCGAGGTACCACTGTATATGGCAGTAGCTTCAATCAACTGCCAAAATGCAGCTAGCATATCTCTACCTTTGCTTACAGTCTAACTACTGTTGTTTATGCTCTGGTAACCTCAAGGTTAGATTACTGCCTCTGAAGGTGGTTGGCTGGTAGGGCTGGAAGGTGGTAGGGCTGCCTCTGAAGATGGTTTGGAAACTTCAGCTAGTGCAGAATTTAGCAGCCAGGTTGCTCACCGGAACCAGACGGTTTGAACATATTACACCAATCCTGGTCTGACTGCACTGGCTGCCAATTAGTTTCTGGGCCCAATTCAAAGTGCTGGTTTTGACCTATAAAGCCATAAATGGCTCAGAACCACAATACCTCAAGGATCAATACCTCAAGGACCACCTCTTTCCACATGAAACTACCCAGCCCCTGAGGCCCTCCTATGCGTGCTTCTTCCTCGAGAAGTCCAGAGGGGGGCAACACGAGAACGGGCCTTCTCTGCAGTGGCTCCCCGTCTGTGGAATGCTCTCCCCAGGTTTGCCTGGCACCTTCATGATACACCTTAAGGCACCAGGCAAAAACGTTCCTTTTTAACCAGGCCTTTGGTTGATTTGATTGACATCCTATGCCCTTTTAAAATGGGGGGGGGCTATTGGGTTGTTGTTTTTGTTTTGATTATGTATTTTGTGGTTTTATATTCTGATTTTATTCTGTGAACCGCCCTGAGACCTGTGGGTTTAGGGTGGTATATAAATTCAATAAATATTAAAATAATACAGTCTTTACATATCCATTCAGGTTTTCGTTAATTATTGAATTTCAAGTTCCAACAGAGCCTAAATTGAACTAGTCTTTAAATTATCATTTCCCCTTAAGTAGGGTGGCTTAAGCTTAATTAAAATTCATATCCTTCCCCATTTGGGAGAAATGACCTGAATTTGAAAGAATATCAGTTTTTAAATATGAGGGTGCCCCCACCAATGGAAAAATAATTGACAAGGTGCCACAGTTGTGCCACTACCTGCACGTGCAACCTTGGCTAACAGTCCCAAGCTCAATACTGTATGAACAACAAAATCAAAGTGACTCAATTTCTGTTTCTTACAGCAATAGTATTATTTGGGATTTGCCTCAATGCATTCAAGAGACTTTACAAAATCACAGCAACAATAAGCTTTTCAAGTCTGCATAAAATAGGTCTCTGCGGAAAACCAGCTGCTGTGATTCTGCTCAGGCAAATGCAATGCAAGTTTACAAGCTCCACTTTTTCATAGCATTTCTTAAAAGTGACAGTGTCTATCAGGCTTACATGTTTTGCTTTTCCACTGGGAATGAATCAAATTCTTTCACCTGCATGTGACATGCTGCCATACTGCAGGGGCGGGCTGACTTCAGACAGGTCCACCCCTGAGTATTCTTTAGCTGTTAATCCACATTTCCCCCCTTCAAATGAGACTGGCGTGGTCCACATGCATATCTGAATGTTTGTTTCAGGAATAACCTCAGTCCTTATCATTCATACCAGTAGGCATCCCCTTCTGCGCTTCCACCTGCCTTCCGATTTGTTGATTCTATCAGGGCTTTTATAGTGTCATACAAGGCACTTAAAAGTGAGTCACCTGACATCATTATGATGGCATGTGATTAGCAGATGGGCAGCCTTACCCACTTGTCAAATTTAGCCTGCAGGGTGAGTAAGGATATGGCACAGTGACTGCATGCAGTTTCCCACCTCTGCTGCAGATCATGCTTAAGGCTGTTTACACGATCTTATTTCCTCATACCTATGAGTGGTGTTTCTCTGTTCTGAGGTCTGCCAGAGCCAAGCTGAGCAAACAACCTTCTGGATGGTGAGCTGCCAGCTCTCTCAAGAACTACAAGTCCTGGAGTTCTTGACCTGTTGCTCATATACCCTGTGCAGAGATAGGAGGAACCAAGAGGGAGTGGCATTTTAGTGGCAGCAGGAGGAACAAGAATCAATGAAATTAGGAGCATTAAGAACCAAGGGACAGTTCTACTGATAGGATTTTGTCCATCTGTCCAGGTCAGTAAGACTGGAGCCTGGATGACTGTTGTTACTTCAGCAACAAAGCAGCCCATACAAGGAGCTGATATGGAAGCTCGAGGCTCCACACCTGGCTCTTGGGTTAGCCCCTGATCTGAGCAGGCATTTCCTTGATTTCCCCCCTCCCAAGTAGCCTCACATACAATTAGCTTTGGCAATGACTCTAAAATGCTTACTTGGCTTCTTGTCTCCCTGCTGCTGTGGCCCAGGGAGCTGATACAGGGACCAGAAGAGGAGCAGGGATATTCAAACCTGCTGGCTCCCCAAGGTTGTTGTCAATGTGCAGGGCTGCCACAGCTGCCGCCTCCTCTACTTGCTGCTCATCTGAAAGAACCTTGGGTCCAAGGTCTGGGCAAGGCTGGACCCTGACAGCTTTACAGAGCCCCACATATATGGGAACATATTAGTTAGAAGTCTTCAGAATGCATGGAATAACTGATGCTAGATCCCAGTCTTTAAGAGAGTGCTTGACACTCTCTCTCTCTCTCTCTCTCTCTCTCTCTCTCTCTCTCTCTCTCTGTGTGTGTGTGTGTGTAACACAGATTAGGCAATCGGAAACATAAGTAGAAGTACCTAAAGATCCTAGATGCACTGATAAACTGTTTTGCCAAATGCAAGAGTTCTTTTGGATCAATTGGCAATAACAACACATGTGGAAGGAAGTTCACTGCTTGTATAATAACACAGCATGGGCGAAATAAAACTACTTTCTCACTCTGTTATCAGAAGCCCAATAACAGAGACCCTCCAGCTGGCCAGCACCCTTCCGATCAGGGCCTAAGTCAAAGTTCCAGGGGCCAGGCCCCATCTAAGACATTTATATATTCTTCTAGATGCTTAGTGACCACCTGCTGCCTGGCCTAATATCTAAATTCCTCCCACCTGTTAAACTAGGGGGCCAGTATAGTTAATAAACTCTGCAACTGCATTACTTAGCCTACTTGGCCCACATTACTTGGCCCACATCCTGCTGCTACTTACCCTGGAGCACAAAGAGTAAATCATTAAAGCCAACCAAAATCCCTTGCGGGTTCCAGAGGTGCCAATAAGCAGGGAAGAAGAATCATACAAACCAGTAGGTTTCCCCTACATTAACCTTCCAGTTTTTCCAAATAAACAAGGCCTTTAATGGGTGGTGTTAGAAGAAGGGGCTCTGCTACCATTCTATACTGGGCCCAGAGTAACAATGCTTGGGCACTGGGCTGATTTCTATATGGAGAGGGATTATTAATAAAATGTATTTGACTTGTATTGGGGGGGGGAGTCTGGTTCTGGTTCTACCTTTTGCACTTTGATTCAGATACCAGAGGATTAATATTTCTACTTTCTTGGGCTCCATGATCACTGCAGATGGTGACAGCAGTCACGAAATTAAAAGACGCCTGCTTCTTGGGAGAAAAGCAATGACAAACCTAGACAGCATCTTAAAAAGTAGAGAGATCACCTTGCCAACAAAGGTCCGTATAGTTAAAGCTATGGTTTTCCCAGTAGTGATGTATGGAAGTGAGAGCTGGACCATAAAGAAGGCTGATCGCCGAAGAATTTATGCTTTTGAATTATGTTGCAGGAGGAGACTCTTGAGAGTCCCATGGACTGCAAGAAGATCAAACCTCTCCATTCTTAAGGAAATCAGCCCTGGGTGCTCACTGGAAGGACAGATCGTGAAGCTGAGGCTCCAATACTTTGGCCACCTCATGAGAAGAGAAGACTCCCTGGAAAAGACCCTGATGTTGGGAAAGATGGAGGGCACAAGGAGAAGGGGATGAGAGAGGACGAGATGGTTGGACAGTGTTCTTGAAGCTACCAGCATGAGTTTGATCAAACTGCGGGAGGCAGTGGAAGACAGAAGTGCCTGGCGTGCTCTGGTCCATGGGGTCACAAAGAGTCGGACACGACTAAACAACAACAAAGTAGTAAAAAGAGGCTGATTGCACTCCTAAAACCTCTCATATTCCTATATCCAATGAAAGTGAATGGGGAAAAGGACTAGGATATTGCTAAATCAGAGAATATGGATGCTCATTTGTGTGCCCTTCCTCTGGGATAGGGTAGGTTCTAAGAGATATGAGGTGGCATGCATAGCAAGATAGCATTTATATTCAGAGCCTGTGAGTTTAGACTTTGTCACTGTGAGCCTGTGCACCAAAAGAATAGGGAGGGAAATAATGCTTTGGGCTCCTTGCCATAAAAGCAGTGTCCATTTATCCCCATAACAGGCACAGGATAGATAGGAGATAAGATTTTTTTTAAAGGAATCACAATTCTCTACAGCAGCCTTTAGACACATTTGCAGGCAAATCAAAAAGAACATGAGAACATGAAGAAGATTAAGACACCGAAAGGCCAAAGTTTATACAACCCAGACCTTTCTTTCTGAGGACATTTTAATAGATTGGGTGGGATGGCTGGGAATCTTTATGAGTCACTATTGAATGTGCTCCACCAGATCTGTATTGTGGCCTATCATTGAAAACACTTTGTAGTCCCCGGGCAAGTGGGGTGGACATTGGAAATTTGTCTGTGGCTTCCATTTTGTTTGATAGGTAAAACATAGGTAAAACATTTTAGAAACTGATGCAATCACTTTAGCATCTGGCAGCAGTAGAGACGTAGCTCGGGGGGTGGGGGGCACTGGGCGCCACACCATGGGGGGCGGCACTTACCGTGCCTGAGCCATGCATCTCTCTTGGGAGTGATGTGGTGGCTTGGGCGCTTGCAGGCTCTGCGCTGCCCAAAAGGGCAGTGTGGGGCTTGCGTCTGGCTGCCCCTTCTGAGAGGGAGGCAGCAGACAGACTAGCTGCAGGCTCCATGCTGCTCAAAAAAGTAATGTGGACCTACAAGGTGCTGGAGTGGAATGGGGCTCGGGCACTGGGATTCTAGCATGCCCTGCCCCACAAGTGCATCGCCCCATCCCTAGGGGGGCGCGCGCACCCCCCCCCAGGGCACCTAAGCGGCCAGCTACACTGCTGGGCAGCAGCAGGAGAGCTCAGGTGATGCATTACTTTAACTCAGGGGCGGGTAACTTTTTCCAGTCCTTTGTGGGAAACCCTCCAGGGGCTGCATGTTAAGGTAGCAGTAGATAAGGGAGTTGAGACCGGAGGCAAAGTTGGGCAGTGCAAAGCATTGCTGCTTGTCTTTTTGTACACTAGACTACAATCCAACCAGGCAAAAGTCTGGTTTCTACACATACAAACACACCCTTCCATCCACCATTCTTGGGAGTTGGAAGCTGGGCTGGCAATTGCTGCCATATTTCTCTACCTCTCTGCCAGGAAGAACCCTTTTCTCAGCTTGTTTATTGAAGGCAAGACATGCTTAACAAGATGGATGACCACAGTGATTTGCTGATCTCAAAGTGACAGGCTGGAGTAGATCGGACGTGTGCCACACCCTCCAGATATTGATGGACTATAACTCCCATTATCCAAGGCCCATGCAGGCAGAGACGGATGGAAGCTGGAGTTCAAGCAGGTCTGGAGGGCACCATTTGCGTATTGCAACTATCCACATTTACCTGGGAGTAAATTGGACACGATGTGACTTACTCTGGAATAAATTGCACTGTGAGTATAGTTATGAAGGTGACAGTTCATGCCAACAATTACCCATCCTATGACCTGAGGCTTGGTGCTTAATGAAAGACTAAAGGGTGGAAGGGGCTCAAGCGTAGCTGTATACACTATTTGAGTTTCATCCTCCACCTAGTAGGCACAGGAGGTATTGGAAATTTGAGCACCAGATACTGTAAGTGAACTTCCTCATTTACCTTAAAGGAATGTTAATTTCAGAGCTCTCCTGGGGCCATTAAAATGCTGGTATTGTTGAAGTGTTGAGCCAAAAAGGGGGGGAGGGGAAAAAACCTAATGTGTGTCATTGAAAACACAATTATAAAGGACAGCTGTGTGCACCTGGGTTTTTGACCCTGAAGAGCTTTGCAAAATGAAATGCCACAAAACCAGAAGCATCCCATGACAGCTTAATGGAATGGAGGCAAACAAAGCCCACATATGATGGATTTTGAATTGCTGCTACAAATGGAGCATTACGGGACATCGCTCCAATTAATGAGCAGTTTGGTTCATTGGCACCAACTAAAACGACTTTCAAGAGGATATTTACTTAGGGTCAAAACTCATCCCGCTAACATGCTGCTTGAGTAAATGGTCTGTGTGATGGGAAGGATGAGTGATGGGAAGGAAATGCTATCATTTTGCCACTCCGTGCAAGCTCCTGTGGAAATAGGGCAGCCACGGACCATCCCAAAAAAAGGGCCTGATGACTCCTCAGTGGGTTCTGTAGGACAACTGAATAATGGCTGAAAATAGAACTCATCTGGGCATCATCTAATAATGCAGCACTTGCTCTGAGCTGTGACATGCTAACCAAACATTAGAAGGTGGCTTACAGTCCATCCAAAAGGCATCTGTAGGACAAAACAGAACTTCTGCTCTCCTCTTTAAGCCACTGTTGAATAAGCAGCATGCATCAGGCCTGGCGTGCCATCTTAATATCTGAAATACACTGTATATTTTGTTTGATATTGTGAGTTGGTAGTCTGGTTGTATTGTTATCCCACCCACACACACCCTTTTTATTTCCCTGAGCCATTGTATAGAGGCAGGAAAGAAAATGCACTAACTATGGCCCTGTTCAAGCATTCAGATGGTGTTCAGTAAACACAGATAGGGAAGAGCCATAGCTCAATGGAAGAGCATCTGCAGTGCAGGCAGAAGATCCCATGTTCAATGCCTGACCGCCCTGAAATCCTAGAAAGCTGCCGCTGCTGCTGCTGCTGCTGCTGCTGCTGCTGCTGCTCAGTGCAGACAATGCTGATCTAGATGAACCAAC